ACCCGCTATTACTGGACCTCGTCTGGAATATCATACTAGCATACTGTGCCTAGGGCTAACCCTCGGGTCTTCTACTTGTAACTACATGGGTCGGCATTGTGGCCTTAGACCCATTCACACAAAGGGAAACTCACCTGCACTGGCTGAACTTGCTGATGATCTCACTAGCTACTGCCCGGCAACTCACTGAACTCCTGCTCCCCTTGCTCCCCAAACTACCAATATCAAAGCAACATTGAATCTAACTGACCCCCGAAAGACAACCAAGTCAACCCTAGTCTAGGTCAAAGTCCTGATCAAAGTCAACCTTCCAGGTCAAGCATACTCGCCGAGTCACCCTATTGACTCGCCGAGTTCAAAATGCTCAGATTCCTTCCATTCGTGTCTCGACTCGCCGAGTCAGTCCATGACTCACCAAGTCTACCGATTTCTGAGTCCTGACCTGTCCAACTCACTGAGTCTCCACCCGACTCACTGATTCGAGTCTGAACTCAAACGGTTTGGGGTTTTACAACCTAACTCGCCGAGTCCAAGAACAGACTCGCCGAGTACAAGGCAATCTTCATCTGACTCGACGAGTTGTTCATCCCACTCGTCGAGTTGCTCCACACCTTCATGCTACTCGCCGAGTCCACCCAAAGGAATCGCCGTGTTTGTTCAAATCCCTTTACATGCAGAGGACTTTTGAGTCATGCATGGACTCCAAACTGTAGATCTACCCTTCCCAAGCCCATTCCTCACGTAAAGTTCTAAGATTTACGTCTAGAGAAGGAGATCTAGGCAAAATACACCATGAACTAGGGTTTAAGGCGAAGAGGCTCCATGATCCACTCAAGGGATGATACTTTGTGCTTCTCAAGACCATCATATGCTTAGATCTGAATTAGCAACTTCAGATCTCGCTTCTAACTTGAAGGAATAACATTATGGCTAAAAACCCCAACAACAACACATAGATCTAGGTGTAAAGGAGGGAAAATAGCAGCTTGTTACCTCCATGATGAACACCACTGAAGTATATCTCGGATCTACACCTCCTCCTTTGAAGCAACCTTCTTGATCGTCAAGTTCCTTTCCTAAAGTTCCTTCCTCCAAGCTATTTCTCTCAAATGATGGAAGCTTACACCAAATCAAGGGTTTACTGGTTCTCTAGGATGATATCGGGGCTGAGGGAGGGACATAACACACTTTAAATAGGATACAACTCCCGGGATTAGGGTTTTCCTCATTAAGACCAGACTCGCCGAGTCACCTTGGCCGACTCGCCGAGTCGGTCACTTACTCCTCGACCCGAATCCCGCTCGGACTCACCAAGTCCATCCTTGGACTCGCCGAGTCGACCGTTAAAATTAGGGTTTTCTTTCCTTTCTTGGCCTTCAAAACTTTGAGTGTTACAATCTGCCACATTATTTTTCGAACTTCTCATGCAAACATGTCTTTAGGCTCTTCTGCGAGATCATATGTCATATCACTATCATAATCCATTTGAAACGGTTTGCCCTTTTTCTTTAAGAGCTCTCTTTCAAGCTTAAAATTTTTAGCTTTGTCTCGGACTTTCCTATGCTGCTCAAGTACAAATATAATTAAAAATTATTAGAAACGGTAATTAATTTATAATAACTGAATAAAAATAGTAAATAAAAATTCATAATATGACTTATGGTCCTGCTCATGATGACCATCACCTCTACCACCTGTGAAATATGGATCCTCAGCTCCATTACCCCCATGTCCATGGTGCATTACAATAGCCATGGTGTACACAAACAAAATCCATATCGACATCATTTCCTAAAAAATTGTAAGATATACAGATACAATTTTTATTGCAAATACACATTACATAGAAATAAACATTTACGTAGGAATGAAAATTTCTATTTAAACTAGGAATCCAAATAAATTTCATATTACAAATACGTATTACATAAGAACTATTCTAATCATAATCTTCCTCATATCCTTCAGTGTCTTCTTCGTTATCATAATCAGAATCGATCTCATTTGTAATTAGTCTCGCAATAAGAAACATCATTGACCTTACTAGTTGGCAGAGGAACTTCATATGCACTTTCTACATCAACAACGACTCTAGGAATGTTTTGAAAGTACATGCTGTAATCGATAAAAAGTAGAGCATCGGATGAAGATATATTTTGAACAACGTCAACATTGTCAACATTTTCGTGTGAGCCATTGTCAAATTTTTGGATAGAGTCATTGTAAGCAAGTTGGATAGGATCATTGATACTTCAATGATTAACATGCTCAACAAACACAGTGATCGTTATCGTTTTGGTTTCTTCAAGAAGGCTCTCTGATGTAACACTTGTTTGGCTTGTGAAGAATATATGAGTTGATCATCTTTGTATGCTTTGTGTCATGTGTCGATACTGGTGAAATTATCACTAGAAATAACTTTTGTTCGAGTATCAAACCACTTGCAATGAAATGGTACAACTGAATAATCATGTGTATACCACAACTCTATAATCTCTTCTAACAGACCATAATATTTATCTCCTTTCTCATCCACGGCTAAAACCCCAGAGTTTTGTGTTGTGCGTTGTGCATCACGACTAAGTACCATAAACCTAACACCGTTGGCTATGCATACGGTGTAAGTATAAGAATTCATTTGCGGACCCATTGCAGGAGCCAATAACTCTTAGTACAATTCTGGAGAGTTTTTGTTTTCATTTGATGAACCTAGGAAAGATAAAGTAATATGTAATATGTATTCTTTAGATTAATGAAACAAATTTGTTTCTTAATTTGTGTTAGCTTTTCACGAAACGAATTAGGAAATTCTCTATTTTCTTCACTTCGGGGATGTTCAACTTTGAATTTCCTATGTTGATGACAAAAGATATAGATGTAAAGAGATAAAAAAAAAATTTAAGGATGAAAGTTAGAGATAAGAATAGTTATTTGATATACTTTCTTATTTATTCACAACTATTCAATACAAACAATTCCATGTTGCACATTTCCGTTAATTAAGAGTTTTGATTTGATTTGTGCTGGCTAGTCGACATTTAGACTCAAACGTCCAAATATTTGTTTTATCAGTATGACTGAATTGAGTCTATAGATCTCAAAGCTACATCGAAGAAAATGACAAAGATTCTTAAGCAACATAACCCTCGGCTATAGAACCTTTTGGCCTCACCTTATTTCTAACATAGTTTTTTATTTTTTTCATATACCTTTCAAAGGGATACATCCATCTTATATATATCGGGCCTTCGACAACCGCTTCATCAGGTAACTGCAAAAGTAAATGAACCATAATCTCAAAAAACGCTGGATGACAAATCAATTCTACCTCGCACAAGATTGCAATAATGTGTACTTTTGCTTTCCTCATATCCTTCACCTTCAATGTTATGGAACAAAGTTGCTTGAAAAACTTACAAAGGTCTACAATAGGTGTATAAGTGTCTTTGTCTAACAACCCTGTAACTCCAATCGATATCAAACGTTGCATAACAGTATGATGGTCTTGTGCTTTCAACCAAATAATGTTTGTATTGGTATCGTTCACTTTCTTATTGATGTTAGAACCAAACCCATCCGCTAGTTTAACATCTTTTATAAATTGACAAAAGAGTTGTCCACCAGATTTCATGAAACAGTATCTTGCATGGGTTTTATGAAACCTGTCACCCTTTTTTTTGCAACCATTCATTTCTCCGAAGGTTTAAAATTCTCAACTCCTCTTGTGCACTTGATGTGTCTTTACTTTTATCAATCATTAGAAGAGTACCTAACAAACGCTCGTCTACATTTTTTCGACACGCATGAAATCTATGTTGTGTTTCATCTATAGGGAAGAACAGTAATCGATTTCCAAGAAAATGCTTCATTTCGACATGCATGAAATCTATCTTGTCTATTTGGCTCCCCACCTCCATGCTCAGGATGTTTACCCAGTTTACGAGTTAGTAGACGACCTAGTTTCTCTTGTATGACGTCATTACTAAAGTGTCTCAGAGTGGGTCTTGTCTTTTCCATCGTGTTAAAGTTCAACCTCTTAATTAACGGATCATTAGCATCTAGGAAATGACAATGACCAATATATACAACTTTATTTATTGCATAGTACGAAGGAGTGTCTTCATTTAAGGTAGCACATGGTCTATACCCTCTCCCACTCCAACCTCATAGACTACTAGGATCTTCACAATCGTTTATTATCCATAACAACAAAGCTATCATTATGAAGAATGTGTTTGTCACCGCATCTTTAATACGTATGCCTGAGTTCCACAGATGTTTAAGCTCTTCCACCAACAACCTAAGGAAAACATCCATATCCTTACTAGGAGCCTTCTCGTCGGGAATCAACAAAGTCAACATGAATGATGACTCTTCAATACAAAGCCATGGTGGAAGATTGTATGTGGTAAGTATGACCGGCCATGTGATATGTGGATTACACATGTTTCCAAATGGGTTAAAACCGTTAGCTGAAAGACCTAGGCATACGTTACAGGATTCACTTGTTAGAATAAATCAAGAGTTGATTGGTTGATTCGAGAACAGGAATAAGAATAAAAACACAAAGAATGAAGGTCAAAGTTATGCTGAACTATAAATACCCTAACCCTAACATAATAAAGAAACCGAGTGGACATGCCCAACTCATTATTAATGGACTATATTAATATAATACAAAATTGACACAACACCTTATAGCCCAACAATCTCCCCCTTTATGTCAATTAGGAAGGGAGATTCTTCATTGCGGTTGGTGTCTATGAACAGGAAAGAGTTTCGGCATGTTGTTCAGAAGAGTCATGAAACCTGGATATACCAAAGGATCATATCCGAGAAACATTTCTTGTCTCTGGTCCAAGCAGCAAACCTAGATGAACAGGAAAGAGCATTCGATTAACAATCGAATCTAAAAGATTAATGTTCGCAACCTGGTCGAAGCAACAAAAATGGAACGCCTTCAGTGTAATAGGTAAATCCAGCTGCAAATTTGAGGATTTCTATAATTTGAATGAGCCAACAGGATCTAGCCAATAACTGTTTGGATTGTCAATGGCCTCATTCAGAATTCGCTCATGTGTCCATAGAGGAAAGATAGTTTTCTGGGCTTTGAAAGTTTCCCCTGCTTTACGAGCAACCCTCTCTTTCTCTTCAGCTTCTCTAGCTACTCGCAAGTTTTCATCAGCTTCGGCATCGCGAGATATACGCTTCAGTTTCTTATCGTCATCCTCTTCTGCATCCTCATCATCAATCACCTTTACTTTTGCTTTTGAACTCAAAGATACATTACCCTTCGGTTCACTCAATTTAGGTTTTTGCTCGTGTTCGTCATTACCTCCTCCAGTTGTTTTGCCAGCACCAGGAGTCTTTGTAGGTTCTCCCCTTGTTTTGGAATATAAGATTTTGAAACACCTTCAAACTATCAACCATAGAGAAGATCGGCTTCATTTTATCTACTAAATGCTAACAAATCGAAATGGTGAGGAGAGAATCACGAGTGTCAACTAGTTTGTGTAGATCAACATTCACATCAGCCACACAACTTTGAATAACGGCTTAGTCTGATTTCAACTCAGTAATCTTAGAGTTCGCTTACGCTAATTTTAGGGACAAAAATTTCACCTTCTCATTTTTGATAGCATGCTAATCAAAGACTTTATTCTCAAGTGACAAATCATCATGAAGCTTGTCTATTTAGGTAGAGATGGAAGTGTCAAACTCTACATTATCAGATTGTATACCTGTGCAAACCTTCTCAAGAGCATCCTTCTCAATATGAAGGGTGGTTCCAAGGCTTGAAATCACTTGGTTTTCTTTGGGCATATTTACTTCAAAGGATGTCTGGAAAGTACCCATAAACATTTGAGCATCATAAATTAGTTTTTCGACTTTTTTGGTCGTATCCTTGCAAACGGTCGAAGAGTCAACAACTTTTTTAGCTTTTTCCAAGTTCGCAGCATGCTTCTTCATTGTTGTCTCGAGCAGAGCTTTGTTAGCTGTGATGGAGTTATCTGAGCTGGAAGTGCATTTGGTTGATTCAAGCAATTTATCCAAATTATTTTGAAGAACCTTAAACTACTGGGATGTCATGGGAGCATCATCATCACTAAACTATTGAACTTCATAAGGACTATAATGAAAGTCCTCAAGGTCATCCTGATTATATCAGAACACAGTATCTAGATCATCTTGACGAAGTGGAGAAACAGTAGTGAAAGTAGCACCAGATGCGAAACCGGAAGCCCCTGCCCCCATATTAGATATGTTAACACTGACTGGTGGTGTCGTTGTTTTTGTTAAAGTGGTTGTAGTTGAATTTGTGAAAAGTAGGGAAGATTGAGCCATGGACATCTAAGGTTGAGATACTCCCACCGAGACATCCGGACAGGGAGCAATAGTGGTGGGAGTGGTTGTAGCAGTAAAATCCTAGAAAAATTCATCTGTTATCGGAACAAAAGTTGGCATAGAAAAGGGTGTCACACCCCAAAACCGGAACGGCGGAAACATTCTGGGGTGGATGACGTCGTGTCAGGCATCACAACATATGCAGTATAGTAATCAAAGTACAACAACTATTGCATTAATAGTAATAGTTTTACATGGTTTACATTACATAGAAACTTCAAAGTAATACAAGTAATAATATAGGTGCAACTTGGTACTAAACTGTCCTCATCCAAAAGCTCCTGGAATGTACCTGTCTAAAGATGACCTGGGAATACAAGTTATTTGAAAAGCGAGTATCAGCATTTTTACAAATGCTGGTGAGTTCATAAGTATTTAGTGTCATTTCATCCGAATAACTTTATATAAGTAGTAGTTTTAACATATACAGTGAATTAGAGTCCTCTCAAGAAAATCCTATATTTTCTAATTAAAAGTAGTCTTCTACCAAGGCTGGACAGAGTAATATGGTAAAAAGTAATTTTTCCTTAACACTATCATTAACAAAATGTGGTATTAATTTTGAAAGAAAGTAGGAGAATATCAGGGAAAATAACATATGCCATAGCAGTGAAGACTGCTGACTAAGGCAAAAGAAATCCTAGACTCCAGGGGAGTATCGAATGAACGGTACACCTGGCTCAGTCTAACTAAAAGGGAGACGCAGACCCCAGACAGTATCAATTGAAAGATACGTCTAACAAGGTCTAAAAACAGTGAACACGGACCCCAGACAGTATCAAATGAATGATACGTCTAGCAAGGTGTCACACCCCGAAAACCGAAGGCGGAATACATTTCCAGGGTTGACTACCGTGTTGAGTATCAAATCCAATGTACATAGTAAGTAGAGTAAAACAAGCATTACATTACATAATAACAGTTTTACAGTTGTTTCAAAAGTATAATTTGTACAGTTGTGATACATAGTATATATAGACAAAATGTAACGGGTCTTCATGAACACCTTCTTCATGCAAAAGGATCTTCGGGTACCTGTTCTAATGCTGACCTGAGAACACAAGCGGTTTGAAAATCAGTATAAAGCTGGTGAGTTCATAAGCGGTTTTGTTTTACGAAAATGTATCGGTTTCCTTTCTGTTTCTGAAATGTTAAGTACACCAAGAAAATCTCGTCTTTTCTTAAAAGTTGGTTATTGTTTCACAAATGTAAAGTATAGTAAGTTTGTACACTGAAAACATGTTTAATCATGTGAAAATGTATAGTTGGTTATCTAACTGGTTAAACTGTTCTGTTTACTTATCATGTATTACCAGGAAAGTCCCATACTTTCCTTATTGTATGTTACAAATTGTAAAAGATGTAATGTTATCCATTCTGTGACTCTTTCTAGTTATGTAAGTGTTACCCAGGAAAGCCCCATGCTTTCCTGCATGTATGTATCTTATGTAAACGATGTGAAAGATGTAAAAGATGTAATCGTGATTAGATTTGATGTTTTCCCCAGGAAGGTCCCGTACCTTCCTGAATGTTAGTTACAGTAAGTAAAAGATGTAAAAGGTGTAAACGATGTAAACGATGTATAAAGTAATCCATTATTACTATAAGTAAATCTCTGTTATCCTAATTGCGAGTTCCATAACCATACAATAGACTGAAACCTGTGGCAATAAGTCGTCCACATACTTATGACTTTCGTCACCCTTGAACCATTTCGCTTCGGCTGTAGCTAGCAGCCAGGTGTGGGGTAGTCAGCCCCGTATAGATCTATACACTCAACTCACGCTCTCTAAATACCAGAGATTCTGGTTATGGGTGTAGTCCTCCACTCGCGTAATCCAGGTGGAGTGTTCTCCGAGGACGTGTCTCCAATCGTACCGGAATAACAAATTTACTAGTAATAATATGAAAGTCCTCCACTCGCGTAAATGCATGGAGTGTTATCGAGGACAAAACAGTGTACATGTATTATATTCAAATGTTTTAATGTCATGCTTTTAACTGATAAAAATGTGGAAAACCATTTGTGAAATACATGTAAAACATACTAGTTTAAAGACTTATTTCACAAATATATGTTACGTGATCTGTATGTTCGATCTGTTATCAGTTGTAGTTATCAGTTATTAAAGCATAAGAATATGAAACACACATTTGAAAACATGTTATGAGTACAAGAATTTTCTTGTACTTTGCTTGTGTTCCCCCCCTGAAAACAGTGAAAACAGTGAAAAAGGGTAGGGGTATGAACTCACCGGACTCGGAAACGTGTCGGTTTTGAATGCTAGACGTCGGTTCGGGGTTTGATTATTCGCGATGACCCTATGTAAAATGATATAATGTCCATATATATACAATTAGAGATACATTCACTAATCATATGGAACATTACACTCCAATGAGGTTAAACACCTCAAAACGAGCGTTTGGAGTGACCCGGGTGACATCTTCGGACTTGTAATGGCACTAGGGACTTGGGACATGAGTTTACTCTCCATAAGTAAACATTTAAATGAGTTTACAACCACGAAACACACTCACACATGAGTTTACGGCCGTAAACTCATGTTGGTGTGGTTTTGAGGGTTTAAGGGCTCAAATGGACCTAGAGGTTGCTAGAATGGATTTTCTAAATTGTCTTGGAACACTTGGACTGAATTTAAATCATCAAAATGCTTATTTTATGGGAGTTTATGGCCCAGTATAGGCTCCTGGCCGTAAACTCCTTAATCTTCATGAAATGGGTGTCAAATGTTGTTAAAACAAATCACATGTGATTCATAAGATTATTCCAAGACCTAGTATGATTTTTATGTGACATTTGAGGGGTGTTATGGAGTTTACGGCCCATGAGACCCTCCTCATGGCCGTAAACTCTAATGTAGGGTCATACAAAGTGTTTCAAGGTCTAAAACTTGCATAGAAGGGCTTCTAAAATTCATCTAAAGGCTTTAGGGGTGTTTAGTTTGCATTCTAACACCAAAAGTTTTGGAGTTTATGGCCCAAGAACAAGCCTTGGCCGTAAACCCTTATAAGTCCCACAAATGATGTGTTTTAGACCCTTAAAGTATTTTTGGTTGGTCCCTTGATTTATTCCAAGTCTTTTGGTGGTGTTGCATGGCTTTCTAACACCTTAGAATTGGATTTATGTCACATTTTGGGGAGTTTACGGCCCAAGCACAATCCTTGGCCGTAAACTCACATAAGTCCCACAAAATTCATGTTTCAAGTGTCCAAATGCTAAAACCAAGGTCCTACAATTCATATCTAAGCCATAGAAGTGATTTGGAAGGGTTTTAGGGCATGAAAAACCCCTTTTTCTTGAGTTTACGGCCTAAGCTTATGCCTTGGCTGTAAACTCCTTTAAATGGCTCAAAATCATAGTTTTAAATGTTCTAAGTCCATATCTTGAAGTCCCATAGCCATATCTAAAGTCCAATTGAGTTTAGGAAGGAGTTTAAGGGCTTAAAACCCCATTAAATGGAGTTTACGGCCCAAGCTTGTTCCTTGGCCGTAAAATCATGTTCTTGGACCTAAAACTCAATTATTTCATCAATTTGAAGGTTAAAGATGCTGAATAACATGCTAGGGAGGTTACCTTAAAGATTTGAAGCCTTAAACTTGAGATTTGGACCTGAATTCTAGCTTGAGGAGAGAGGTTGTAAGAGTTTAGTGATAATTTGACCAAAGGCTTCAAATGAAGTCCTAAACATGTTTATATAGTGTTTAAGTTTTGGACACGGAGGAATTTTACCCGATACCGGCGTTAGACGGGGTTTTTGGTCGTACCCGATTGAGTTACCGTAACCCGATACGGTAAATTCTAGAATTATTCCGATCACTAAAGTTGGGTGTTAAATTGATTTCTAAATGTATTAAGACACCCATTAAGTCATTTTAAATATGTCCTAATTAATGACTTAATTAAACGGAGAAATCGGAAATCAGAAATCGGAACGACGATCGGTTGCGCGAAAGAGTTACATTAAAATGATGCAGAAATTTCGGGTTGTTACACAAGGTCTAAAAACAGTGAACACAGACCCCAGACAGTATCAAATGAATGATACGTCTAGCAAGGTCTAAATACAATGAATACAGTGTTAAAACCCGTTATGTTAAGGCCATGAATTATAAGGTAACCCCGAGATACTCGCAACCATACTGATAGACACTAGAGAACTTGACGCCCTGCAAGTGTCGGTAATAATGTGACATATATCACCCTTTAGGCTTGGTAGGCCGGGGACTGTAGCTAGCAGTCAGGGTGCGGGGGTGTTAATCCCGTATAGATCTATACACATAATGCTCGCTCTCCCTACAAGAGACTCTGGTTACTATACTGACAACGGAGAACGCCGTGTACTGAAGATGTATTCCGTGTAGTGAGATCTGATGTGAAATACTGGACTAATGATAGAGACTCACAACTGAACTGACTAATGTAAACCTATATGTCTATGCTTGTATACATAAGGTATAACTAATGATGAAATGACTTTCGGACGAGTATTCAATCCCACAAGACCACATCTCAACGAAGAAAAGGAAATAGGGCGAACTAGCCTTCCTAAGTTGTTTAAACATTATTTATATAACTATACAAGCATAAGCATACATTTAACTAAGTTTAAGTGTTTAACGAAGTAGAAGTGTATCGTGAAGTATATGTGTATCGTGAAGTATAAGTGAATCATGAAGTATAAGCGTATCGTGAAGTATAAGCGTATCGTGAAGTATAAGCGTATCGTGAAGTATAAGTGAATCGTGAAGTATAAGCGTATCGTGAAGTATAAGTGTATCACGAAGTAAAAGTGTTAACAAAGTAGTACCATTAACTATGAGGAAGTATAACGAAGCGGTAGTGTCTAACAAAGTGGGAGTAGAAAACATGGAAGCAAAATTTGATGAAATCTTTGGAAAACCTTTATACTTTAGGAAAATCA